CATTCACAGGAAACGAGGGAGGGGACGGATGTCAAGCGGCCCTCGACGCGATTCTGCAAATAATAACAACTGTTCCAGCTCCCCCCTTCCAAAGATAATCCACGTAGAGTCATTCTCGATGATAGCCAGAAATAGTAGTTCTGGTCGGAGTCAGTCGCGCCCGTTCCTTTGCCTCGTTATTGGTGTGAAAAAAAGTAAGCTCTACCTGAAACGTGCCCCAAAACAAAGTCATCTTCAATTCTGTCCAATCGTCAAGATGTGACAGTCATCGACTGTGACTGTGTTATTCGAGGTCTTTCTCAAATAAATTATTTTCAGATAATCCTGCATTGTGTGGTACATACCTACAATATGTTTGAATGTTGACACTTGCTAATTGTATGTCCCAGAGCCGTATATGTAGAGAGTTTGGGCATTCGTTGGGAAGTATAGACCGACACGCGGCGCGGCTTTGTTTACCAACATGACTGGAAGGCCGCGCATGCGCAGCAGCTATGTGGGCAAAAGCGGCCAGGCTCTTCCTGTTTTCGCCATTGCATTCTATGGCGTGCGCACGTTGTTGACGTTATTTAACTTTACTTGTGCGTCGTATTTTTTGCCAACGTATGTCGCCTGACTATTTGAGCTCGCTTCCCGAGCCTGAACGGCAGCGGTGTCGAGACAAACTGTGCGTGGACGGCGTTGCCTTCGACGATCCGTACGCCGTAAACAAGACCTGGTGCAGTTCCGAAGCAAAGTTGCTGCCACCGCCATCGACGGCTCACGTCGTTGTTTATTTAGTTTTTTCGCCAAGCCAGTTGACGACCGACACGGTGCAGGCGTAAAAGACATTCGAAGCCTACGATTACGAGCCGGTTTCCAGCTCGTAATCGTAGGCAAAGGATCAGCCGACTTAGGGTCTGCTAAAGTGTATTTATTAATTGATTAAATACACACAGCGTCTTAGAGTTTAAGGTATGAAGTTTTTCCTACCCTCATGACCACAAGGCATGACAAGCGGTACCGCTTTGTCGGTTCTGCAGTGTTGGCGGTAACACGTTAAAAGTAACGGCGTTACCGGTAACGCGCTACTTTTTCAGTAACATACTTGTTACTTTTTCAAAACAGTAACGGGTAGCATATTTACGTTACTATTTCAAGTAACGGGGAACGTAGTTACGTTACTCGTTGCTTCTTCTCCCCAAGTCTTGAAGGAATTACACTTCAAATTTTTCCGTGTTTTTAGGCGTCGAGCCACTTGAATTTCCGAGTTGTCTGCGTTTTCCTTTGCATTTTTCTTGTGAGTATTTAGGTGAAACCGTAAAAAGAGATAAAGTAATTATCTTCAGTTTCTGCATGAACATAATGTTTTTTGATATATGATTTTATGCATACCCGTACCGTCAAAACAGTACGACGAGTTAAACCATAATTAAAAAAGTAACGCAAAAGTAACGTGCGTTACTTCTTATCAGTAACGGGTTCCTTTTATTTTGAGGTAACGTAGGTCGCTAACGCGCTCTTTTTATTTGCAAGTAACGGGTAACGTATCTCGTTACTTTTTTTTGGAAATGCCTACAACACTGATGTTCTGTCGCCGATCTTCCGCCTGATAGCGCGGGCGTAGCGAGCCACCGATGAGCGCTTGGCCGGTGCTTTGTGCTCGAGCACCATGGGAACAAAATCCTGGTGTTCCCAATCAGACGACGGTTTTCCTGCACGGTTACCGGCTCATGTCAAAACGGTTCGGCCACGCGCTGTTGACAATGAATGTGCTATCAATGCCATTTGTTTTTTAAGTGCCGTCAACTGACACACACCTCGCTTACATATTTTTCTTCTCCACTCAGTCTTAGGAATATAAACGCTGCATCCATGAATCTTGACAAACGCTGCATCCATGGATCTTGACATAGGAACCAGTATTGCGCTGATCGCGGCTTGCACGGAAGAAAAACAATTAAAAGGCTGTGCAAAAAAAAAAAAAAAAAAATCGCGTCACGGGATTTCATTTTTCTACAATCTCGTAAATCCTAAATCCTGCTGTGTGCTCATTTCATAACACGTTTCTAGAACGCGCGAGTTCTTGAAGCTTGCTTCCATCGGAATGAGAAAAAAGGCTGTGGAGTTTGATAATAATGCATCCGGTTTCGTATAGACACTTCGAAGCTAACATATTTGTGAGACAGCGAACTCTTCTATTTTAATATTTATCCTATTACGTCCTTCTGGCGTTGCGTTCGGTGAAGTGTTTTTCGTATTCCGTATCTTGTTTAATGAAAACTTCTTTATAGGGCTACTCCACCGATTTTTTCATTGTCTCCGATTTGCTTGAAATTTTGCTAAACTAACCAACAAACATCGCGAAAATAGTTTCCCAGATATTAGGTCAAAATATTGTTTTTTCGCGAAGTTATTGAATTTACAGTTTTGGTCCTCACCGTGTTTTTCAAGCTCGAAGTCTCTACTGGCAACAATGAAAAAGTGACGTCAGTGGAAGGCAGGGGTTCACTCTTTGGGCTGTAGATTTTGTTTTAAACTGATTCGAAGCAGTTTCATGGTGTCAAATGAATGCTTGGGAAGCTCGCTGCAGTACCCGCGCTCCAGCACGGAACAAATGATTGGCATATTCTATTTTTTGGCTGCCTGCTCGACTGGCAAGCCTGCCTGCCACTGACGTCACGGCCCCGAAAAGCGCGCGTATATTTGAATGTTGGTTTTTGCATCATTTTCATTTGCCGATTTCGCAATAACTATTATGAATTTCGCGATTCTAAATGGCATACTGGAGAGAGTAAAGACCGGGGAGTCAGAAAATATAGTTAGTTGAGGCAGCTCAAAAAATCGGTGGAGTACCCGTACCCCTTTAAGGGTCTAATTTGAGTTACCGAAGGTTAGTTCAAATAAAGAAAGCTGTATGTTCTCCCCACTGTTCCTTCGGGATAGTTAGCGAGTTCTGCTTGTAAGTGGGTTTGTAAGGAGGTCGCGGATTTTACAGCTACTGCGTCGGACCCAATTAGATGAAGTCCGAATGCGTAAACGTCGGTGAGGTAACCTTTGAGTGCACATAAAGAAACCATTCCTGGTAGAAATCCCTGAGCCTTACACTACGATGTATCCCGTTTCGTATGTGCAGATTTCAGATGTTTTATTTGTAATTTATTTTGATGTTGCAATTTGTCATTTATAATTTCCGAACCGGTTCGCGAACCAGTTCGCGGATCGAATTAATCGAACCAGAACTGAACCGGAACAAAATAAATTTACCTGAACCTGAACCGTAACCGAACCCGTATTTTTTTCGGTTCGACACACTGATTTGTACATACTGCTGGCCCGTGGGGCCGTGGCAGGGAGGAACAAACACATAGACGCACACAAAAGAGAATATGACTCATACCTCCAACAGAGCTACGAACAATAAAGTGGTTCCAAGATTAAAGGGGTACGGAAACAAAAATTTAAATATTCCGATTTTGTTCGGAAATGAGTCAAGCATGGCGGATAATAACCGTAAATGATAATCGCACCTTTGTATTTTGAACGACTGGCTATATTTTGCGTTCCAAACGGTGCACTCGAGCAAGCGAAGAGAGGCGAACGGAGAGCGCGATGCGTCATGGGATATCCGGCGCAAACAAAAACAGAGGGAAAAGATTCCCCGCATTCGTGACGTAGCAAGGCTGGCGTGATTATCAGCTTTGCCCTTGGTGGCGTTGTCAGCGTTCTGGTGCTGTCAGTAGCGTCAGCGCGCTACAACCGAGCCGTTCGGAGTACTCGTGGGGTGACGAGCGTGTGGCTGGCCCAAGGAGCACGTAGCTTCCACAACACTGTCAGCTTGGGGCTGAACGGGGTGGGGAAAGCAACTTTTGTTCGAGTTTTGAGCGACGGGCTAATCTTCTAAGGGGAGAATAGCTGTTTCCGGTTGCACGAACGAGGGTCCGAGAAACAGGGGGGTAAAAGTGGGTGAGGAGGAGTGGCAAATCCTGTGCGCCGACATCCTGGGTCCCGAGTGAACGATCGCAAAAGAGAGCGACAGAACACGAGAGAAAGAAAGCAACGTTGCCATGGTAACGCGAAGAGTGAAAACTCTTAGCAATATAAACAGTGATAATTTAACGTTGTAAACTAAATTATGAGCTATTCTAACGCTTATAAAAAGCAATAAACTCATTACGCTGCATTAACTTCCCTTCTGTCGAAATCTCGGAAATCTGGTGGTTGCGCAGTTTCGTATTCCTCAACCGCGCCCAGCCGCGCCCCACTGGCGAAGCCGGGTATATGGTTTAGTTTAGCGTTAACGCGAGGCCGTACATCTGCGCGCTTTTCAAAAAGAAAGCTTCGAAAGGAACGTGAATATCTTTCCACCGGTAAGTTCGTGAATTGTTGAAGTTCACGAAACTGCTCTGATGATGTAACCGTGTTTGGGACCCAGAAGGTCTGCCTGCATGATCCGCCGCTTGCGGCAGCCAGAATGTATGGGAAAATGGCGGACCTTTTCCTCTAGAGTTAGTATGTATGATCTCTATGCCGAGAAAGAAGGGAGTCCTTCCTTTCCGTCTTGGACCGTTTGGTACAATGCGCGATTTGTGAGTTCAGGAGGAAAGCTAAGAAGGAAAACGTTGAAATGCCAAAGAGCAGCGCTGCTCCGAAGGAATCTGCTACGTCACGAATACGTAGCAGATTCCACAACGTTGCTAGACTACCTCCCAAATAGGCTCCGCATGCATCCACCAGGTGCACATTGAAAGATTGTTTATTTACTTTAAAATTAGTTTTCTTGTGCTTTTCAATGGAAGACTGGTGTTTTTGAGGCTAGGGTGCAACATGCAACACATTAAAGCTAGAAAATGAGCGCTGAAATTTCGTTTCCCTACCCCTTTAAATACAAAACGCGCCGAGAGCGTTTTGTATTTATATGATAGATGGCACAAGCTACATCCCATTCAAAAGATTTAGCAGTCCAGTTAATTTATTTACACATCCATTCAAAGGATAATCCAAATCCAAAAGTGCTTAGACAAAAGTTAAGCCAGAGCAAGCCAAAGAGGGCGTGTTCGTCCCGTTCGTCCCAGCCTGATCCAGTGTCCGGCCTGCTGGGCGCTGGGCGTCGAACGCTAACATACTTTGAGTGTGTAATCGCTCCGAGTCATATGTTCCTTCGTAATCGGACAACATGGAAGCTCCACTCGTGAAGTGCGTAGATGAAATGTAAGTAAACAAAAACTTTTGCTCCTACTTTCTGCGATCGCACCTCATTACCAAGACATGTTTTTGTTGTTGCTGAGTCCTGTGAGCATGAGCTCAGCAGATCATACTTCACGCTCGCTCGTTTTGTTTGACGAATGTATCAGGATGATAGAGAGGCAGTCGACAGCATGGTGTGCTGGGCAACAAGAAGGTAGTTTAATGGACGTGGGCGGTATTTATAAGCATGACTGAGCATGACTAGTGCACTGTCATGCGAGGCGTTGTACATAAGGCCGACACGGGTAACGAAAGACAAAGTACAAGTTCATGCCACTTGATTGAAGTCAAAGTCATGATGGAGACGCTCCGGAGGCTTCACCGTGCGAGTCGAGTTCCTGGCTTCTGACACTGACACACCATCGCCTGAAGGTTGCTGTTGGCTTGACGGCGCTAAGGGCTACGCCGTCGTAACAGGGGCCAGGCTGGGGTGCTATGTTGCGCTTTTTGCACTCCCAGGACACTTGGAAGAAGGAAGTGACGTCAACGACTAGAGCAAACGCAGATTGGATGTTGACAGAAGAAAACAAAATGAACACCCAATCTGCATTTGCTGCGTTGTTGACGTCACTTCCTTCTCCCTAGTCTCCTGGGAGTGCAAAAAGCGCAACATAGCCCCCCAGCTGTTTGCCCATAGGTGCCGCTTTATCATTTGAAGTTTTCTGGACACATGACGTCATTGAATGCTGCGACGTCGCCTTGTTGCTCGGGGTCGACCCTGGACCACGACCAACTCTATAATGGTCTGGGCTGGTAGCTCGGTGCCACCACTGTCTGGACCCGACGTATTGCGGCTGTCGTGATCACGGCGCCGCCTTGTTGGGTGCTGCTAGCTCGAGGTCACCATTGTCTAGACCGGGCATACTGCAGTCATCGTCGTAACGGGGGCCAGGCTGCTTTTGCCCGTAGGTGCCGGCATTTCCAGCAGACCTTGAACCAGCTTTGAGTTGGGCGAAATACCTTTCGCTGCGATGATGTCATTCAGAAACTGTATTTCCGTTAAGCCGAACCTACCTTTATGTGCGTTAAATGTTTAACCAGATTTTTCTGCAGCTTTCAAGGCTGCCATTAAATGATTATCATGCTCTTGCAGTGTCACGCTCGCACCAGAATGTTGTCGATATACATGTGCACGCTGGGTAGACCATTGAATACTAGACTCGGTTTTCTTTGGAAAACTTCTGGCGCCTACAAGGTACCAAAAGGAAGCCAGAGGTAACAGTATCTGCCAAAAGAAGTTGTGAGAGTACACATTTTCTAAGTTTGCTCGTCCAGTGGTATTTGATGGAATCCAGAGCTTGCATCTAGGCAACACAACGGCACCTAACAGCAGCCTGGCCCCTGTTAGGACGACAGAGCCCTTAGCACCGTGACGCCAACAGCAATCTTCAAGCGATGGTGTGGCAGTGTCACAAGCCAGGAAGTCGACTCGCACGGTGAAGCCTCCGGAGCATCTCCACTATGACTTTGACTTCAGTCAAGTGGCGTGAACTTGTACTTTGTTTTTTTGGTCTGCCTTGCTGCATTGCGATGCCGCTTGTTGTGAGGTAGCATCGATACGGTTAGCTGACTTATTCCAGACATTATTTCGTTGCGCCAGAGTTTCTGCTACTTTGCACGTTTCTTCTGCCTTTAGCAACATTAGACCCTTCTCCCAAAGCATTTTCTCACAAATCTTTAAACCATTCGTGCCAAACACGATCTGGTCTCTAATCATTGATTCATGCAGTTCTTCAAAATTGCACTGGGCGGCTACCTTTTTCAGGTCTCTAGTAAACTTTTTGATAGGTTCTTCCTCGGCTTGCACTCTCGAGCGAAACACATAGCATTCATGCACTTCATTGCTCACCTCGGCAAAGTAGGCTTCAAACTTTTTGACAAGGGTTGCGTAGTCATCCTGGTCTTCCCCGTCTTCAAACTAGAAGTTGTTGAAGACGTCAAGTGCTTCGTCGCCGGCAACGCTCAGCAGGACTGCAGCTTTTGCAGCTTCACTTCTTGGATGTTCTTTCAATGCCGTAGCCTTGAGAAACAGCTCAACCTTCTGCTTGAAGTGCTTCCAGTTTTCAAAGAGATTGCCTGACAGTTGTAAGGGCTCCTGCGTTTTGAGCAGATTCATCGTCGGCGCTGCGCCGTCTGACTGTGCTTAGGCCCTTACCGACGACTTCTGACACCATGTATCAGGATGATAAAGAGGCAGTCGACAGCATGGTTTGCAGAGCAACAAGAAGGTGGTTTAATGGACAAAGGTGGTATTTATCAGATCGCCCTGCGCATGGTTAGTGTTTGTCATGCGAAGCGTTGTACATGATAAGCCCGATACAATGAACAGCAAATTGATTGATATTCCGTGTCCTGTGAAATTTGTTATTTCTCCCCTTGGCTCTGAGCTGATTGCACATAGTGCTGACTTCGGAACTATCACGCAGCTCCACTTCGCCACTCTAATCGGGGATGGTAAACGGGCGTGAGTCAAGATATGCTAGTTGGACAAATCAGACAAATGTTTGTGTGAAGAGCTGCTTTTATGGGATTGTATAAGTGCTTTTCACTGCGGTTTCGAAGTCTGACACTATGATTTTGGCTATGCCAGACTTGCGGCGATTATTTATTGGACGAGTCGGTATCTAACTCGTCTTCGTTTAGCATAGAATTGACGCTTGTCGGTAGGGCAATTGCCAAGGCAAACTGCCACAAATGCTTATACCAGTCCTGCACACAGAAGCGGAGACACATTGTTGATACCAGTCGTAGCGAACATACGGGGCAGGTACGGGGCATAGAGTAGGAAATCTTTCTTCCAGCCACTTGTATGTTTAATTACCACTCTTTTTTTTCACAAGTCCTGAAGTCTAAGGGGAGCCATGCACACACACTCATAAAAGATCTGTGTAGTTCATGAGCCACCGTTTTGTAACCCGTTCTAAAATAATGACTTTTTTGTTGCACACGATTGTTGCAGCCTTGATTCTGGTGCTGTTGGAGTAATCTGTGCTGACAAGGACGGCTTGGCATTACACAGTAAGTACCCTACACTCCGTTTCAACTCACGAGGAACCACAGTGGACGCTACGAGACATTGTAGCCAGTCCTATGCTGTCCGAGTGTCACGTGACATTCTGGAGATGCGCAGCGAGATTTGCGGGGCATGGAGTCACGTGATACGCTCAAAGCACTGGATTTGCGGAGATAGCTCATAGTGTCCACCGCAGTCCGTCGTAAGATTATTGCAACATCACTCCACCTGGCAGTTTTGGCTGCCAACAGTTTGTTCCCTGCTCTTTTGATTTCACACTGGTGGACTCAATTGTTCCGAAAAAATGTGATTCTTGGGAATGAAGTTATATGTGACAGGAATGCTAGCACTGCTCGTTCCCAGGCAAAAATCGGCCCACTTCCAGCTGGATTATGGAACTGGCCCCAGCTGGAAATGATGCAGTCCAGCTGGATTCCAGCTGGGTTCCCAGGCGAAAATCGGCCCACTTCCAGTTGGATTATGGAGCTGGTCCCAGCTGGACTGCCTCAATTCCACCTTGGACCAGTTCCATAATCCAACTGGAAGTGGGCCATTTTTCACCTGGGTTGCTTTGCTGCTGCAGGTTTATATCCTAGCATTCTTGGTTTCATTTAATGGGGCCCTTATTTCTAACCCAGCAGCAGCAAGCTTTTGTGAGTGAAACACTGTTTCATGGTCGACCCATGACATAAGCTGCTGGTACAGTGATAGACGAGACTTAAAGAAAGATCCCATTGCTTGTATTGCATGCAGACTGTTTCATTCTATTTTGCCACGTGCCTAGCTCCGGAAGCAAAAATTTTGAATTAAAGAGAGGATTACCAGTTTTAACAATGCCAGAGTAAAGCAACTTGGTAAATATGAGGTAACATCGAAGTTCTCGGTCGCATGGCAGTGAAGACTGCTGTTGTGTGCTCATGACTGATTAGGAGTGCCGCATGCCAGAGGTTTGGACAGCAGAGCCAAGATGTGCTTTGTGAAAGAACATTGCCATTGTGCATTCCCATTGTAAAACATCTTTCTGCTTTAACTATTCACTTAACCCTTTGACAGTCAAGATTTTTTCCCCCAAAGATGCTCTCCAGTCACCGGGTTTTGTTTCCAAAGGAATAGTATAAAAAAAGGGTCAATGTGCAGGTTGTTCCTTAATTATCGAGCGGGAGCACATACAATGTTTGTAAGATGCTTAGGTTTAGAAGCTTCAAATCAAAATATTGAAGGCAAGAAGTTGTCATTTTTCTTCCATTCGGTTTAATTATGGCACATACACTTCCGCGACATTCCAGCGGCTTCGGATTCGTAACAGGAGGTACTTTACAGAACTTCACCGTTGGATTATGAGCTCTCATCCTCTGAATATAATTCCGAAAAGTGTTGCAAGTCTCAATTGGAGGAAGAAGTGCTCCCATTGGCTCCACCGCCAGAACGGCCAGTATGCGAAGAGCACAGAGCGTCCAATTCGAAAACTATAAATAGCTCAGCAAAGCGAAACACTGTGTGCATATAACGTTTATAGTTTGCCAAAGACATAACAATGAGCCATACCTCCCGTGGTGTGTGCATTTTCATGTTCAGGCGTGCACTTTCAAATGTGTAATCACTGCCGTACATGTATGGCGACGACTGTCAAAGGGTTAATAAACAGTTATCGCCAAACAACTTGCATACTTACAGCTACCCTACAGTGCCACTGCAGCCAGAACGAGAATTACTCCGTTTTGTTTTGAGAGCCTTAAATCACTCTTATAGATAACTTTGCAAAGCTTTGCATGACATTCCAGTTTACTATCTCAAGAGTAAAACAAAAAAAAAAACTTCTAAAAATAGACATTCTTTTTTTTTTTCTTCTCCCTTCTTTGAGAGTTTTTCTTGGGGTTTAGAAATTAAAAGGTTGACTTTTTCCCTCCTATCTGGCCCTCTTTCTCGTTAGCATGCAGATGTTCTGCTTCTTTTCTACGGGGCCAGAGCGGAAGAATGAAAAGGTATTACATGGATTGTACAGTGGAATAAAAAGAAAGGATACATTTTCTGTGAGGTTGGTGGAGGTGGAGAATCATTGCAAACGTTCGCCCTTGCACCATAAGCTAATCAGGAAGGCAGTCGAATCTGGTAGGAAGAACTTGAAAAGCAGTCTACTGGAACCATCAGACCAAGAGATTTATCTTCTGTAGGGCTAAGTTTCGAAGCACCCCGACGATGCTAAGCTTTTAGAACAATTTTGGCTGCCACTCAGGGTTTTCAAGAAGTCTTTTTTGCCGCGTCATGTGACTCACTGAATCCGAACGAGCAAGCTTTCGGAAGCCTACGATAGCGAAATGACGCTACCATCACCACAGGAGGGGTAGTCGAACGTTGGTGAATTCCCATCGTCTGCAATGGGAATGCTTTTTATAGGTGCTGGCCAAGTGCAGTTGAGGGCTGCGGGAGTGATCACAGCCCTCGCAAGCCTGGCAAAGCAAATCGACCCTTCCTGTGACACAACTCCCACCATCCATCTGGAATCTGACTCGCTGTGAGTGTTCCATGCCTAGCATCCAGGCCGTGCAAATGCGTATGCAGCTGGCTCCTTCACTGTTCTCGATGTGCGTTGGGTTGCGTGCCGATGCGTGGCACTTGTTGTAAGTCTCGAAGGATGACATGTGCCTTGGAGATTTCTTCTTCCAGAACAAGACAGGGTGCGCACAGGTCCTGGAAACCCTTGAAAACCCTTGAATTTAAAAATTGGGTTTTCAAGGCCCTTGAAAATCCTGGATTTTTTGCTAGACCTTGAAAACCCTTGAATTTGAAAATTTGGTTTGCAGGGCCCTTGAAAGCCCTTGATTTTTTTGGCTAGACCTTGAAAATCTGTGAATGGCTATTTATAAAAACAAATTCGGGTATGTATTGTTTATTTTTATTATGCTTATCGTTTTTGTTTCGTTTTGGTCTAAGTTATCTCTATTTGTTTAGGTTTAGCCGATATTCATTGGATGGTTGGCCACATTGGAGCAGACCCGAATCCAATCTCATCCGGGCACTGTTTCCGCCATTGGCCTTATGTTTTGTCGTCGGTCGTTGCAAAATGCCCGGCAAAAGCAAGTTTCAAGGTGCGTGGCTGTGCAGTGATGAATATAAGGACTGGGTGGCGCCAGATACGACAAATCAGCATCGTGCAAGATGCAAGCCGTGCGGCAAAACTTTCGATGTCGCCGCAATGGGCGAATCGGCATTGAAGAGCCATATGAAGAGCGCTAAACATACCGGCATCATGAAGATCGCAGCCAACAGCTCGGTGCACAATTACCTGGCTCCGGGCACGAGTGAACGATCCGCTGTCCCGCCTCCACCGCAGTTGCCAAACATAAACGCTGCTTGCAAGACGCACGAGTTGGTGACAAACGCCGAAGTGTTGTGGACTCTGAAGGTCGTCACATCCCACTGTTCTTACCGCTCATCATCACAATCGGGCAAGTTGTTCCAACACATGTTCCCAGACAGTGAGGTGGCAAAAGCGTTTTCTTGCGGAGAAAAGAAATGCGCCTATGTGACGTGCCATGGACTGAGACCTTTCTTTCTAACGGCCTTGCAGCGGGAAATCGACCAGTGTGAGCACTACGTGGTGCTTTTTGACGAGTCTTCAAACGACTATTTGCATCGCAAACAAATGGATGTGCACGTGAGGTGTTGGGACTCGTCTCACAAGGTGACAACAAGGTACTACAACTCGGTGTTTATGGGGCACTCCACGGCCGAGGACATACAAGAAGAGCTGTTGAGCGCACTCGAACCTTTGCCTCTTGAAAAGATCCTTCAGATATCGATGGATGGTCCCAATGTCAACTTGAAGTTCTTTAAGAACTTCCAAGTGCACCTGCAAGAAGCGTACCAAGTTCTGTGTGTGGACATTGGCACCTGTGGCCTCCACACAATGCACAACGCCTACAGGGCAGGCGTTGCATCAAGTAGGTGGGGATTAGATTGCTTACTGTCTAGTCTGAGCGCACTGTTTGAGAGCTCTCCAGCAAGGAGGGAAGACTTTACAACAGTCACTGGGCAGGAAACATCTCCCCTAAAGTTTGTTCCTCACCGCTGGGTAGAGAACGTCGCGGTAATTGAGAGAGCCTTGTTGTGGTGCGACATCAAAAAGTTTGTTGAGGCTGCAAGAAGCAAAGAAGTAAACCTGCCAAAATGTGGATCTTTTCAGAACTTGGTTGAGTTCTGCAGCGACTCTTTGGTGCCGGCAAAGCTCAACTTTGCACTGGGTGTTGCCATTGCACTCAAGCCATTCCTAACAGAGTATCAAACAGATAGACCGATGGTCTTCTTCCTTGCAAGAGATTTGGAAACTGTTGTCCGGAAACTGCTAACAAGGTTTCTGAAGTGCTCAGTCTTGTCAGCATCAAAAGGACTCACCGGCCTCCTGAGGGTGGACATTGAGAACCCGGACAATCATACTCCAATTGAAAAGGTGGATGTAGGCCATACAGCTGAGCAGATCGTCAAGAAAGCCAAAGCCAGTTTGAAGGACGTGTTTCAGTTCCGGATGGAATGTAAACAGTTCCTGATCGCCGTGGCAAAGAAAGTCCTAGAGAGAAGCCCCTTGAAATTCCCAGTGGTTAGGGGCCTCTCCTCATTGGACCCACGACAGATGTGTTCAAGGCCAGATGAGTGCCTTCCTGGTTTTAGAAAAGTGTTGGACGTCCTCATCACCGCAGGGAGGATGACTGATCACCAACGAGACACGGTACTGGCACAGTACACCGAGTTCTTGCAGGAACAGAAACATCACCTGCGACTCTTTGAAAAGAGCGTGAACAGGATAGATGAGTATTTCTCTGAGCTCATGAAGTTTAATCCATCGTATACAGAGCTCTGGAAAGTAGTTAAACTCTTGCTTGTCCTAAGCCATGGACAGGCAACTGTGGAGCGAGGCTTTAGTGTAAACCGCCAGGTTTCGGTAGAGAATCTGAAGGACCTTTCCTACGTCTCTCAACGGATTGTGTGTGATGCAGTGGAAAAGGCAGGTGGTGTCCTCAACATCCCACTTACGAAAGAACTGAGGACTGCTGTGTCAGCTGCGAGACAGCAGTACAGTGCATATTTGGAAGCAGAAAAAAAGAAGCAGCGTGAAGATGTGAAGCAGGCAAAAAAGCGCTGCATTGATGAAGAGATAGACACCATGAAAGCAAGAAAGAGGAAACTTGAAGCAACTATAGCTGATCTCACAGCCTCAGCAGATGCCTACGCAGAAAAAGCAGAAAAAGCAAATGACCTCACATACATTGTAAAATCAAATAGTCTTAGGAAAACTGCAAAAAGCAAGGCCGAGGAGCTGCTTAGCATCAGCCAACAAATACAGGAAAAGCTGCAGGAGCTTCCCTGAAGTTACCACAAGTGGTTGTGCAAACAATTTTTATTTTGGCTTAGTGCAATGCAAACAAGTTTGCAAGAAATATTTTTTTCTTTTTGTTTAGTGCAATAAAAATGATACCTACGATCTTTTGACATGAGTGCTTTATTGAAATCTGTCATGTGTGGCACCGAGTAAGGTCCTTGAAAATACTCCCACAGGGCCTTGAAATTCCTTGAATATCCTTGAATATCTTTCTTTGAATCCTGTACGAACCCTGCAAGAAGATTAAGGCTGGTTCACGCATTTGCATTTAACTGCGATCAACTGCACTATGACAACTTGTCACGGCTTATGACGATAGAACACGCTGGCCCCTCCGACCCACGTACGACTGAAGTATTAGCACGATTCGTGAGATCAAATTCACACGCTATCTGGTCGCTCGTAACTAGGGTTACATGTGTTTTCGGAATTTATGTTTGTGCAAATTCGTTTTCTTTTTTTTTCTGGGTTAATATTTTTTTTATGGAGACTGTTTTTTGAGTTGAACAAAGTAATTGGGGCTTTTCGGGGTTATGTCGAAGAAAAATGGGTAAGACTGTGGAAATCCACAACCTCCAGGGAATGCACGCGCTGCCCAAGTGCTCATAAAACGTCCTGATGGAGACGAGGGAAGGCAACAACAGGTGGGGTTTGAATTTCTAGGCTAGCTGGTGCAAGCTACCGCCCGTTGTAAAAGGAGAACCTGTCAACATCCATCCTTCCATCCAGAAAGCAGCAGCCTCGTGGTCAGTTCAGTGGGTGCTGTGGTCCTGGTCAATACAAAAAAAAGTCAATAAAGTCGTGGACAAAAAGGGCCTTCTCGTGAAGCTTGGGTGTTTTACAGTGACAGCTGCTAGTGGCCCGTCCCCCGGTTTTCCCACGGCGTGAGCGTAAACAAAAAGTTTCCCCACTAAATTTAGTGGAAAAACTGACGTCATGTGACCTGTGCACCAATTCATTTTCCCCGCTAAATTTGGCGGGCAAATCGATCTCACCTGACCTATGCACCAATTCAGTTTCCCCCCTAAATTTGGAGGGAAAATCGACGTCACATGAACTATGCACCAATTCAGTTTCCCCGCTAAATTTAGTGGAAACATTTACGTCACATGAGCTATGCACCAATTCAGTTTCCCCGCTAAATTTGGTGGGGAAATTAATGTCACGTGACCTATGCATCAATTCAGTTTCCTCATTAAATTTGGCGGGAAAATTGATGTATATGACCTGGCGTCACAGGACCTACAAACGAATTTAAATTACCCACTAAATTTAGCGAAAAAATTTGTCACGTGACCTGTGCACCGATTTAGTGTAAAAATTTACATCATGCGACCTATGCACCAATTCACTTTCCTCTCTAAATTTGGCGAAAAAGCACATCACAACCTTCAAACCATTTATTCATCAATGTATCGGCGCTAAATCGACGCGACGTCATTTTAAGATTAGATCACCATATATGACAAACTATCGTCGCCAGTTTTTCCTGATTTTGATAAAACTGACTCGGGGGGTTTAATTTTTGGGGTTTGTCGGTATTTACCGAAAACACGGAACCCTACTTATAACATTGTTACAGTATTTCGAGCTCTCGGTGAAAGAATGAGACGTAAATATATGTCAATGTGTTATCTTGTCTTAAAATGTCGCTAGCAGTCGTAGCACAGTCGATCACAGTCAGGCGCATATCTGCGAACCTGCCTTTAGATGGAGGACACACTCTGCACTGTGACGTTCTGTGTAATGTTTCTGCACAGATTCATTGTAGGAATGGCTTTGGCAATGCAGAAAGTAACAGAGTTTTGTTTGTTGACTTTAGTGACTTGATAGTGTTTGATGTGTTGGAAGCAGCACAAAGAGGAACACCGTGTGGCAGAGTACAGTTAGACCTGATGCAAGGCAACGACTTTCTTTTTAGCATGAACTGGTGGATGACGTACAAGACCCTTTTCACAGCTTACATTCATCTATAAAAGCCTTATGAACGGTCAGCAACCGAAATTTTAGATTAGCTAAGCTACAACACTTTTCATGAAAACTCGTGACAAACCAAAAGTATGAGGATGTCCAAAAGTAGAGTCCTGTGCAGATAATTAACCCACGGAAAATATGATCGTTATCATTATGCCTGTTTTGAGCACATTGTGCATTATATTTTGACAAAGATGCAAAATGTTAATGGTGCCAAAGGATTAATACTGAAATTTCACTTCGAAACCAGCAAACTATATTTTTTCTCGCTTTTTGCTGGACCCACAGTGACATGTCCAGAGCCGTATATGTAGAGAGTTTGGCCATTCGTTGGGAAGTATAGGAGACAAATGAGGAGGCGCCATTGGCTGAAAGCGGGCTGGGCGTGTGCCAGGGCATCTTCAGAAATTCGAATGTGACCAACCAGAAGCCGGAAACAATACCCTGGCGGTGGTCGCGAGAAACAGACCTGATAACTGTATTAGAGTAACTCTCGAGGACTGAAAATATGGTACACGTGATGTTTCAATCACGCTCATCCAAAATGATGGTGGAGGAGTACGACTAGCGGAACCATCGACATAATCCGTACGGCAAGCGTCGAGGGCCAGCCGTCCGAGCGGTCACACTCTGTCCGAGCAAAACAGAGTTGAGCGGCGCATTCGTTTTTCACATCTTTCTGCATGATTATGATCAAAACAACACATGCACCCTATTTTCAACCACGAAGAGTTACTACACTTCACTCTTACGCGTTTATTAAAACCATTTACGAACATGGACTTTTGATCAGAACTGTTTCTCGCTACCACCGCTAGGGGATTCTTTTCGGCTTCTGGTTGGTGAAGAGAGCATGCCAAGCCCTCTTTCCGAGTCTGGTGCACGCCCTGTCTCTGCCCGCGCCTCCCATTGACCAAACTCTCTAAATATACGGCTCTGGACATGTCAGCCCCACTCCGTCGGATGGATGGATGAATTGATGGACATCGATCGTATTCTTTATAATGGGCGGTAGCTTACGCCACCTAGTCGTGGTAGGTTGTCGCGGTTTGTCTCCATTGTGCTCCACACATCGTAGTGTTGACGAGTGCACATGCCCGATCACGTTGGCCGACGCTGGCTGCAAATGGGAGTGTTTACTCCAGTGTCATGCGCAACGCGATGTAGCAAAGTGTAGCCCAGCACGCGTCGGCATAGCTCACGACGGAAAAGTAAACCGTACACCCCGCCTTTCCAGAAACCCTTGCGCGAGCGCCCCATTTGGGAATCTGGACGTCGGGGTTAGCCGGAATGTGCTAGATGCTCATTTCTGCGATCCGGACCTGCCATTCTTGCCGTCTGTCATCGTGGTCCTGTGTTGGTGTGCATATTTAACGTTTGTGCAATTGATTGGGCAAGTGTGTGCGTGGACGTGGACTGCTTGGAGGAGGCTCTACTCCCGAGACACTTCGTAGGCCTAACACGCTGGACTCACATGCACGGTGTGCCTTCAAAAGCTGGAAGCTCGAACATGCGCTGAAGGTAGAGTTAAAATAGAATTAAGGATGACCTAATGTGTGTGGTATAATATATGATCATGTGCTAGTCGTGGGCAACGGCAGCCGTTCCCAATCGAAACAAGTGCCGTCTAACCTACGGGAACGGTGAAACATCTGCTATTTAGCCGACCAGAAATTTTCAACTGGGGTGTCTCAGTTTGTAAATAATAGTAGTGGTAGGCAACGAAAATGGGACTGAAACCTGTACTGTTTGTATGGACTCTATAAAGTGCACTAGAATTTCAAAAGCGATGCATTGCATAATTTAGGCATCGTACGCTGTCTTCCATGCTAGTGTCTTAAGTCAATGTGACAGGCTAGCTATGGTGATAGCACACAGGCCATCTGTCAGAAAGAGGTCACTGTGGAGTATAGGGTGCATCGCTTCCATTGAAGTGTCCTGGTGGATTCACCGGAGTCGATTAAACACAACTTCAGCAAACTTGCCAAGCAGCTAGCTTTGCTGGACGCAATATTCTGATTTTTGTTATTTCGTCAATATCTGTGCGACATTTCGGAAAAATAAATGCTGGTATGCGCTCATTATGCCCATCATTTTCTTGTTTTCATACTGTTAACCACCGCTCCAAATAGCTGCTTCGAAGCATGACCACACGGCACGGGCGAACCACACAAACCAATAGACCGATCTCGCCTGCCAGTTTGACTACGCCACCGCTGCCGCAATGCATCGAAGGAACTTTAGTCTTTCTGCGGGTGCGACAACCTGGCTGGAGCTCCGCGCGTGCAGGGCACAAACAGTTTCGTGCACTGCCAATTGCCTCCTGTGAACTAAATTATGGCTCCCTCGTGCATGCTTGGTGAGATCGGTCTATTGCATGATTTGTCCCGACCAGAAAATGGAAACACGCTGCGCGAGACAATGCAGTGACGCGGTTGCCACGTCGCTTTGCGCTGGCTTGCGTTGCGTTCGTCGATGTTAAAGCATAAACACTGCTGAAACCATGTTTTAGCGCAAATAGCTGCTGAAACATAGTTTGTCCGAGGGAGCGGCAGCTTGGGACTACTTGGGATCCGAAACCACTCCGCTGATCCATCCGCGTGCGCGTACCTTCGTGGACCACTTTACTCGGGGAATTTGTAGTAAGAAAGGGCGTGTCCATGACCTCTGACCTTTTTAGAACAGGGAAATAGGCCATGCACAATTGTAATCTTTAGATTTTTGGAGTGTGTCAGTGTGTAGAACGCATCAAGTGATTTTGGCATGATATAAGCCGGGCCAAATGCCTGCACGCAAACCACCCAAATACCATGTTTACTGTATCCAAAGCAATGTTCAGTGTCAAAGGCTGCAATCTTTAGGGCCAGATCAGGGTTGGGAGCAATGGGTTAAGTAATGAGTACTCAATGAGGGTGGATGATCATGGCTGAGGGCATGTCCATCCCCTGAACTGCCCGTCAATAAAGGCAATTCATTGTCTGCAGTGCTTCATGATCCTCGCTCGGCAGTTGTCGAGGGCCAAGTTACAAACCGTCAGATTCCTACTTGTCTCGCAACTTGCCTCGACGTGACATAATTTATGTAGAAAACTCCTAAAATCGGCTAGGATGGTTCTCGGATATTTGATGGAGTAATGCTCATATCATGTTAGCACTTGAAAGTCAGTTTAAGGCCGACATACAAACTCAATTAAAAAAACCGAGACTGCAGGTAACGACACACACACATTTAAGTCTCAATCATAGCTGTGTTTGAGACTTTTGAGTGTGTGTGTCCTTGCCTGCAGTCTCGCCTTTTTTTTAAAATCATGTTTAATGTACATCAGCTTGTTTGCACCCTTATTTATTTCATACAAACTCGATTTTCTGCAAGGCAGAACTTCCTCCTTTTCTGCACTATGTGGGCAATGGAGAAGCAAGCTAAAGTGCAAAGCACAAAGTGTATGTTGGCTGCTGCCTTCAATTAATGGGGCTTTTGAGGTGCCAGTTCAATGGGGGATTGCATTATAGACAATTTTCGTTGATTATGCTGACAATTGCTTAATTTTCTTTTTCCTCTATTTCGTAGGGATGTCTACATTCAACAGAAGGAGCAGGTGTCTCTGGCAGTCTATTCCACGCCAAAGAAGTAGCAAGGAAGCAAGTGCGAGAAAAATGACGATGCCACATTGAGTATGCGCAAGCAGTATTTGATGGATTTTCAATAAAGCTATTTCGATCTGAGCGCTTTTAATTTCAAATCAAAACCTGCCCAAGACCTACCCTATCAACAATACTGCGGTCCAGGCAAGTAAACAGTGCCACTGCGCGCTAGACAATTCACTCGGTAGCAAGCTTGGAATCACTGGCTCCCAGATACATGTCTCTTAGACTTCTAAAATCATGGATGAAGTTGTACTGCTTCACCGTTTGAATGGCCCGAGTGCCCCTAAGCTCTTGCACTTTTCGCACTACGTACTCCGGCGTCACGCCGTCATCCAAGTTCAGAAGCAAGCAAGCTGCCACAACGCCGGTTCTCCCGAGTCCGCCGAAGCAGTGAACCAAGGCTCGTTTCCCTTGTTCGATAACTTTCCCGATTTCTTTGAGAATGTTTAGCACCTGCTCTATGCCCGGTGCAGTGCCATCTTGAAATGGATGGTGGTGCACCGTTATGCCGTGGCTTTCGTACTCGATCAAAAGACTCGGGACCCTGTACAGCGTCAGCTCGCCACGGGTGCAGAGAACGAAAACGTCACTGACGTCTTCCAGTTTGAGGTATTCGAGGTCGCGGGCGGTGTCTCGCCAGCTGTCTTTGAACTTGCAGCCAGGTAGTCCGCTCAGGCCGACAGAGTCTGGGTAACCGAACATTGACAGATCCAACCAGTCGATCTTCAGAGGAGTAGCTGCCTTCAAATAGTCTCCCGAGACCTCTTCGTCGGATGAATCCATGGCTTTCTGAATTATCGCGGGTCCAAAATCACATTCGTTGCTTCGCACTGTTCTAGAAACGCGAATTTACACAGCACGCGCGCGCTCCCACGCGCCACTGGATTGGATTACACTGGCTCAGCCACTGTAAGCTCAGTCGTTCAGTGCCCATTTTGCTGGCTAATTTATTAGATAACCCTGAAATAAACTTTTTAAACATAATTTTTGATACAATACGCGATTGTTGGTGTCTGATAACAAAATGCATTATGTAAGCTTTTTTTTTTCCCACCAATTTAGCAGGTGCTAACGGTTGGTGCACTGGGCTGGAAAAAGGCGCCTCCGCCTTACAGATCGTAGCTTTGAAGAATAAATATTCAGATATATAATTGGAGCAAAATTGAGGGTTGTATGCATTAATGAGAGACGAAATTTAATTCGAAAGTTTAAAATAGTGTAAAAGGGGAATCTAAACTACGCTAGGTAGCGCTAGCTACCACCCAATATAAGGGTACAGCCAATATTTATCCATTTATCCATCTACCCCAGAAAAAATAAAGTGTTTACAATGGCGGATACCGTGGATTTACTTGGGGCAGATTCCATCAAAAACATGAAGGTAAGTGACTTATAACTCGCGTGGTTATCGTGAACCTTAACGTTTTTACAATCTTTGACAAAGTGCGAGGCGGTTGTAAACCCGATTGGTATCGGTCGAACCGATCGCGGCGCTCAACTGTTGCGTTGGCACATCGTGAAGGGCTAAGCATTTTTTCCTGGCGTTGCAGGTTGCGGACCTGAAAAAAGAGCTCAAGGCACGAGGTCTGTCCACTACCGGCAACAAGAGCGAACTTGTGGAACGTTTAGAAGCTGCTGCGGGAGTTCCCAAAGGTAACGATGATCGTCATCGCGGCACGTGCGTCGAAGACGGCCTGCTTCCCTCCGACTGTTTCGCTTGTGTTACAAAAAAAGTACTGTCTTCGGAAGTACGAAATAACAACCGGCGTCGTTCAGATGCTTCGAACGAAACTTTTATGTGTCTTCTGAGTGATATGATATGATATATTGTGTCTTCCGAATGATGTTGATAGCATCAGTATGACACGTCGGTCAGTATTTTGTTTTTCTAGAAATTTGCGCTACTTCAAAGTTTGATTGTTTTGTTGCAAAGGCATTCAACCGGAGTATTTTGCTCTTGGAATTCACGGTACCCCATATTTGATTGGTTGTTCTACTTTACGTATTAAGCAGCAGTCCTAACATTATCGCGGTGCAGCTTTGGAGCCTTGGTTTCTCTTTTGTAGAGTGTCGCGTATGTCAGCTCCATGGTTATCCACAAAGACTGACACGTGACTTTATGCAAGGCTTGAGCGGCAGGGAGCGGGCGTTATTGTGCGCAGTAGCATCTTTAGGAAGGAATTCCGAAACGTTGACCAACTGCTACGGCATAAGTGTGGATTGAACTCGAGCCAATCTGTCCTTGTTACAGGATAGATTCATGTTTGTTTACTTACATCCTGCACACATGATCACAGCTGCAGTGTCCTATAAGAAATAACAACCAGGTTATACTTGACGTCGGCTTTTCTTTTTTATGCCTTGGTCAAGGTTAGCATAGTTCACAACGACGTGCCTGCACTGCTGTGAGAGCATGTGGCTTCGTCTTGTCTCTCTCTCACACGCACTGCCATGAGAAGGACGAGCCAAACTAAGCCATGCACTCGTACGAGTAGCTTTGACAGCATAGCACATGAAACATTGACACTGGGTAAAGGAAGGGATGACATTGAAGTAGTTGTTTGTAGAGACAGTGACATATTTGGCTGATATTGTTACGACACGTGTCTTGCTGATAATAGCAAACGGTGCTGTGGAAGATTTGGTACACTGGCTGTACTCTTTGCCTGCCATACTGATAGTTTTTCTTTGGTAAGGTTGCTTTCTGTAGTGTTGATCTAAGTGTTAACTTTCAATTTGCTATATTTCTTTGTTCAGGACTTCAGCCTTTTACATCTAATTCTTACAGAGCGTACACAGGCCAATTACTGCCATTCTCTGAAGGATTCTGGCAAATGATGAGGCACTAGTAATGTTTATATGCAAAAGAAACTTTGAGCTTGGATTCTAAGCATGATGCTAGCTTGCTTAGAATACCTGCATGGATTGCATTTTTGTGTCACAGTGTCACTGGTGCCTCATCATTAGCTGTTTCTTTCAGTGCATGGCAGGGACTGTCTCTTCCTGCATGCTCTTTGGCAGCATAGACACGCCATGTTTGTTCCTAAAAGCTCATACCTTAGAATTGAAAATGCACAATGTTTTGTTTCGAGATAGAAATATCGAAAAGCAGACAACACCAACATTACAGAGAGTTGTTCTTATTGTACAGTTCGCAGGAATAATAGTCAGTGCAGTGAAAGACAGGTGGAAGTCACATAGTTTTGCGTCACCTTAAAGGGATACTACAACGAAATTTCGGCGCTCATTTTTTGGTCTATATGTGTTCAAAAAAGCTGCATCACATTGAACATACCAATATCTTGTTTAAAAAGTCACGAAAAGGAATTTTAAAACAAATTAAACGATTAGCAAAGAGCACCTGGTGGATGTCGCTAACGCCTCGTTTGTAATGCCCGTCTAGGAACCTTGACAGCTAGTGACGGAGGTTGTCTCGCCTCCGGCCACGACGAGAGAAGAGGGGCAGGAGGAACTCTCCTCTTCCCGAGAATGCCTTTCGTGTGTCGCAGAAGTCGCTGTTGTCCCCCTACAAGATTACAGAAGATTAACCCGTCACTCGAAATTCGTAGAAAAGCAGCCGCTTCGGTGGCTGGAACGACTAGGCCATCCTCTCGACGTCAGCCTCGCTGTAGCTTTGCTCGTCCTGGGACGACCTACGTCACGATTGCGTTGGATGTCACATGTTTTCCGCTGGGCCTTCTCTGAGCGCTTGCCAGAGTGGGCCGTTTATAACGAAAAATACAGCCACCAGGCTCAAAATACAAACGTGCGATTGTCATTTACGGATATCAAGGATCATATTCAACCTATTTTTGAACACGACGGGAATATTTCAAATTTCGTTGAAGTATCCCTTTAAAAGTAGCTCAGCTTACTTACAGTTTGTGAGCTGAACCGAAAACTACTCTTCCGTATTGAGGATCATTAAACAAGGTATTTGCAGACGCTGGTTAATATTTGTGCTGCTGTGGGTCAAGGTGTGAAAATTCTGTCCATTCCCTAACCACAGTCCAGTGCTCTCTCTGCATTAGTAATCAAGTGATTGCCTGCTGACATTGTCATCTCTTTTTTCCTTCTTTTTCACAGACCTGTTGACAGACGTCCAGCTGGATGGTGAGACAGTTTTATGCTCAACTGTTTTTTGGAGTATCCTGCATCCCAGCTTACTGTGCATCCTTTACTCCCATTTCCCTGTTGTCTAAAACCAATCATCCCTATATTTTTGTAAAATGTTTCACTCGACGGGTCTTTGACTTTTCATGTCAACACCCTCTTGTCGCCGGCAGATGCCTCTCTCGACCCCACCGCGGAGGTGAATGAAGACGAGGTGCTGTCCGAGGACAGTTTGCTGCTCCAGACTGAAGGCAAGGCCAACAACGGAGAGGCCTTTGGGAGCGACGAAGACCTTCTGGCCACCCCCGTGTCCAAGACCGCTCCCCAGCAGATCACAGACAAGCTTCCCCTGACCGCGACAGATCTGTCGGTTTCGGCCAAGGGCCAGGAAAAAGCAGCCGGCCAGCCGGCCAAGCAGGCCTTGTCTCAGGAGCCCAAGACTCCGGACGCTGGCAAGAAGTCGAAAACAAAGGTGACCATGTCCGGGCAAGCCGGCGCCGAGACGAACGGGACTGGCGGTGCCATCAAGGCGGCCGGCAAGGCACTTTCCGTGGAAGAGGTGAATATGCAACTGGGCTCTGCTTTCCTCATTTATGCAACGGCCGTTACTGGCGAGGTTTCGCAGCGGATCTGGTGTGTGTATGATGTTGCCTACCAGATTTAGAGGGAAGCGCATTTCGCCAAATATAGCAGGGAATCGCTGTAACGTGGGACTGCGACGTTGTGCGAGGAGTTTCCCCAATAAATTTTGTTCAGAAATTTTTCTGCCAAGTTTGGCGGAGGAATTGTGACATCAAATAACCTCTCCTTAAACTATAACTTCCCATGAAGTTTTTTCCCGTTGAATTGAGCGGGAATATTTCTTTACTATATTATGTGGGGAAATTGTGATGTCGCGTGACCATGTGATGTCACAGTCATGTGACGTCTCCTGATGTCGCCTGACAATGTAGCTTTTGGGCCTTTGCCATATTTTGAATGGTGGTGGAGAATGACTGTGCTTAGACTGTGCGCAGCAAAGGATACGAAGCCTCAGCCGTCGCCTTGGTTCGTTTGCGGGACACGGCAAGGAACCGGCAATTTTTTGTCTCCAGGAGCATTTGTCTGGGAAGTGACCCTTTGAGTACAGCACACCTTTTGTCCTCCTTTAAACCGTTTCTACCACCCTGCTTGCAGCGGGCCAAGAAGTTCAACATGCCGCTTTCGGACAGTGCTCGCCTGAAGGTCCGCATGGAGAGGTAGGGAGTTAGTGCTAGTCCGTGCTGTGAGGCATAGGATGCTCACCCCGTGCTTGTATGTTTTCTGTAAAGGTTTGGTGCAGTGGCTTCTGACTCCGGTACGGCCAAGAGCGAGGCAAAAGGAACGACGAAGACATCCCGTACTTCCATCAGTGCCAACCCTCCCGTGAGTGTTCTCTTTGTTTGTTTGCCAGAGCTGAGAGATTGGTGTCTGAAATTACCATTATTTAGAGCGCAGCAGCTCTTAGGTGCCATTTTTCCAGGTTGAGCGGCGTCGGCGTAACCACGCTAAATTTAGCTGGAAAATTATTTTCACGTGACCTCAACACCAATTCAATTCCCCACTAAACTTAGCGGGGAAAATCACGTGACATGACTTGGTGTCGCATCACGTATGAACAAATGCAGTTTCTCCGCTAGATTTAGCGGGAAAGTTGATGTCATGTGACCTCAACAGCAATTCAATTCCCCTCTGAATTTAGCGGGGATTTGAATTGTTGTCGAGGTCACGCGGCGTCAATTTTTCAGCTAAATTTAGCAGGGAAACTGGGAGGAGGGGAGGGTACAGAGGAGGAGGATGGAAGGGTTTGCAGGAGGGGAGAGGAGCAGGAGGATGGTAGGAAGAGGAGGGGAGGAGCAAGTGGAGGACATGCCCTTCTCTCCTTCTCCTCAAGAGCTCTGTTTTCAATGTGCATCATCCATTTGCATTTCTGATGCATCGCTTGGCTGTGTCAGCGTTCGACTGTGCCTCGCTTTCAAACGCTAAAGTACCAATTGAGCCTGGCAAACGCTGATGCAGCACTCTTGGTCAATCTGTGCCCTGCACCTGATCGAGGAAGATGATGTACAAAATCCAACCCACAAACTTTGCGTTTGGGTAAGCACCGAGCTCTGTGGAGAACAGGCTGGACAAAGTGCCCCCTATTGTTTGGTCTCTTTGCCAATAACGCTAAATTAAGAAAAAAAAAAAAAAGAAAGGAGAATACAGTGCGCCTTCTCAGTGCACAATTGAAAAAGAAACAGGCAACAACTTTCTGCTGCACGCTGTCCCCGTCGCACAACACTAGCATATTTTTTGAGGGCCGCATCCTCTTGAAGCTTGGTAAGCACGGGTATGTTGCCTACAACGCATATTTGACCGGTACGTTTAGTGTCCTTACTGCCTATGCATCGAAAGTAGTCTTGAATTGGCAAGAAATCGTGTCACAGGTGCCACCAGCTCACTTAGCATTTAATCACTGGTCAAACCTTGTTGGTTGGTCGTAGAAGTGTTGCAACACAAGCCCGGTGGTCGTAGCTGTTGTAGCAGCTTCCCAATCCGTGACTGCTTTGAATTTTGCCAGCCGCAGGGCTGCCTCCGCTACAGTGTTATCACCAGGATCACGACGAGCAACCAAATGCGCCAGTGGTGACATCACGAGGTGGAAATCGAGGGACCAGAAACGGAAACGCAGTAACCACGATCGATCGAAGGAGCATTCCAGGCACCTAAGCTAGGCCGTCGTGCGACGTTGACTAGAAAAGTCTTTTTGGTGTTTGGAACGGAAATGATGGAGGCAGAAAGTGAATGTGGTGCCATGAAGCCTCATCCTTTCCCAAGTAAAACTAGCCCTCCGTCGGCTACCTCCTCACCACCTAGTGTCATGCGCAGGCTAGGGCATGTTACGCCGCGTCACATTGTTTTAGCCTTGGCTATAGACGGCGAGATGGGAGTTTTAAACTACGATACTTTTCGATTTCAAAAGCAATTTAAGTGAATTGAAACCACCACCGCCGAAACAGTTGTAACATGCTTTTGTGGAGATTGCACCATCACACGTGACATTTCGTTTGGCGATTTATTGAGCTACCCCAACTAAATATATTTTCAGAATCACCGGGTTTTACCCTTTTCGGTATGGTATTTAGTTTCGTGATATTCAGAATAGTTATTGTGAAATCGGCAAGTGAAAATTATGACAAAACCAAGAGTTCAAAATACCCGTGCTTTTCAGTACTATGACGTCGAGGGAAGGCAGGCTTGCAGTTTGAGCGGGCAGTCTAGAAAGGGACTATGCCAGACATTTGTTTCGTGCTGCTGGACTGGTGCTGGAGCGAGCTCCCAAAGCATTCATTTGACATTATAAAACTGCTTGAAATCAGTTGGGAACAAAGTCTGCAGCCAAAAGGGTGAACCCGTGCCTTCTGCTGACGTCACTTTTTCCTTGTTGCCAGTAGAGACCTTCACTTTAAAAAACACGGTGAATCCAAAATTATAAATTCAATCACTTAAGGAAACTGACACCGAAGAGAGTGGTTGATGCCTAAATTACTCAATGTACGCGTTTGATACAAACAATACAGGATTCAGTCCCACTTTCATTGCGTACTGATACTGTACACCTTTCCAAAAGAAACGCTCCTAGGCCGCCGCCATGTTGCTGATGCTGATGCGGCTGGTGCGACTCTCGCGCCCCCTATCAGCTAGAAATTTTCTGCCACTCTGGGACTGTGAAGACCCGCTCAGCACAGTTCTCTATTGACGTTTTTGCGGTTTTGCATTCAACGTTTTCTCGCCCCTCTTGAAAGTTTCCACTTATTTTTTTTATGCGTGCTGCGTACCCTTTTTGTGTTATCTTCCATTGTGAAAAATAAGGCTGGTAAGTGCCTGCCTTTCAAGCTTTTCTGCTCGACATTCACGGGAAACGAAGGTGGTGAAGGCCGTCGAACGACCCTCGACGCGATTTTGAGAACATCGTTCTCCCCCCTCCTTGAGATAATCCGCGTAGAATCTTCAGTCATCTCCAAAATTAGTTGTCCGGGTTGGGGCGAGAAACGGGTCAGTCACTTTTGTTTCTTTGCCTTGGTGCGGTTGTGAAAAAAAGGAAGATCTCCCCAAAACGTGCCCCCAAACGAAGTCTGCTTAGATTCCTTCCGATCGTCAAGATGTGACTGTCGTCGACTGTGCCTGTGTTATTTGAGTTGTTTCTCAAATAAATACTTTTCGGATAACGCTCCATCGTGTGGTACGTATGATATATTGTTTGAATGTTCCTGTCCATCGGTAAACACATTATTTGTGAGCGTGAAAAATGCATGCCTTTCGGCCCTCTTCTGTTGCAATTTATTTTTCACAGCAAAGCGATTTGTCGTTTCACATGCGGCGAATAGAGGCGCCGTCAAAACTTATCGTAAGAAAAAAACACAAATAACTAGAACTATACATTTCAGTCGCATTCGTTCTGTCGCGCGCGTATCCAACAAAAATAGTTTACAGTTTATTTTTTTCTTTTTTTGTTTTTTCAAATGTGGCACAATGCTTTCTCAATGTCCTCGGGAAAATATATGTACCATGAAACACAAAATATAGCGGGAAAAGATGAGAATTTATCCGCCAGCAGCATTTGAAACTGCGCCTATTGAAATCACAGTCCCCTCGGTTAGGGTTAGCAGGGAGGCCGGTGAGAGTTGAGCCTCAAACTCAGTGACTGGGCTCGAAAACGGTTTGTTGCCCCTGGGGTAGGGTGTTTTTTGGAAAGGTGTATAGTTTACAAGCCGAGACACGCCGGTTGAAAATTTTTGGAAAAATTCCACTGGGTCTGTTGTTCCCGTATGTTCAACGGCACTTTTTGTTTCAGTCGGGAACGGTTACCGGTGCGTACGACTAGCACAAAATAGTGCACACGTTAGCTGATCCTTAATTCTACCTTTGGGGCACCATCGAGCTTCCAGCTTTTGCCGGGATTCCGACACCACCGGCTCGTTAGGCCTATAGGCCTAACAAGCCTTCTGGGTAGCCAGTCATCTGAGCAGTCTGCACACAAGCTCGCCCAGCCGAGCGCACAAACGTTAACCATGTGCACCAGGACGGGTGCAGCAAGAACAGCAGGTTTAGATTGCAGAAATAAGCGTCTTGTACACTCCGACTGGCCCCAACATCCGAATTTCCGGATGTTGGGCTTTTGGTATAGCAACTGTCGACAACGTGAATAGAGCATGCCCTATTCAATCGTGAGGTACGCCAACGCGCACTGGGCTGCATTGTGTTGCGCATGACGACAGAGTATAGACCCCCGTCCGCAGTCAACGTTGGTCTATACGATTGGGTGCGTGTGCTCGTCGACGTTGCGACAGATTTTAAAGAGCCTTTACCTGCGATCATGATGTGGTGTACCAGAAGATTACTCTGCAGAGTAATCCTCTTTCACTCCAGACTTGAAGAGGTTTTTAGTGCTGCAAAACGTGTGGCACATGAATTTTCGATTTGTGTGCACCCTTTGGCTTATTTATTTTGGTCTAAGGCAGGGCAAACTTTCGTTCGCACTTGCTTGGGAAAAGCGTGATTTTATTGTTTAGCTAAGTACTCAAAAAGTGTTGATTCAAGTTGATTGCATTATCATTTCGTCTCGCTTAGCCCGTCAACCTGGTACAGCTGAAGAAAAGGGCAGAGCGGTTTGGACAGAGTGTTTCTACAGTGGCCAAGGATGTGAGTATTGTATTTCTCACCTTCAGTCCATCAATTGTATCGTTTATGATAAGCTGGAACTGAGAGAAAAAAAAAGTCTTTTGTGTCTTTCCAAGTTGTAATCTGTGGCGAGGATTTAAAATAATTTCCACTCAAGCTTCAGGCGTTCACTAGAAAAGGCAAAGTATACATGCTTACCCTCACTTAATCTAATCACACTAGTATGGTGTCACTAGGGCCATAGGGTCATTACTGCCACAAGAAGATAAGGGAATGGAGCACTGATGCTCTCAATGTAGTCAATTTAGCGGCTATAGCTTCCACATTGTGCATTCCACACCACCAAGATTGCAGTTCTTCCTAGAAGATAAGTGGGAGCTCGTTCTGAGCGCGTGCTGTGGATTCTGCACTCAAACACTGTGCTCAGTAGGAGCCACCGGTTGCTTCCATTTCATTCTACTAACGTCACAGCCTTAGGAGTATACTTTTTTGACATGGCAGTGTGCCTAGCATCACGGCTGTTGTCGACACAGGCGGACGTAGACCTCTTGCTGCAATTTTCAGCTTTTTCCACACCCGTTACGTCGCAAAATTGTGCTGTTACTCGGTTTTGTTTGCGGTACGGTTTGTGTCCAAAAGTCGTATAGCCGTAGCAGTACTCAATGTGCGTGTCCGCTTGAGCGACTGGGTTTGGCAGCAGCCGAGACGCTTCGCCAAACACTGAAGTTCTCTTCGTTTGTTTTCTGTTAGCTCTTGCCTCGAGTTACGTCGTAACTGTGTAACGGTGTGCTGTATTTCCCCATCTGTGTGAGCGAAGGAGATGTTACAAAAGCAAGTGCCACGCTTTAAGTGGGATCACTTGGAAGTGAAAGCATAGCTCAAAACAACATGCTTGTGCTTGTTGCGTCGACTTTGATCGCATGAATGGTGGAACAGGATAGTATCAGCATTTGTCCACGGTGGTTTCTGTTATGCAAAATCGCTGAAGCGTTCCTAAGATATGTGCGCTTACTGCCTCCAACAACTGACTTTTGAGTTGATAAATGAGGGCTGCCTACTGAGATGACGTCTTTGAAGCAGTGTTTATGTGTAAAACGTGGCATCCTAGCCCAATCTTCTCGTTTGCAGTCACCCACTTGGTAAGCAGTGATTGAAGGGAACACTATGGTCAAGCAAGCTCGTTCCATTCCATGTGAATGTGTCGATAAATGTAGTGACAGTCATGGCCACCTGCAGCTTTGGGACATTGTGTACTGCCATTAGCATGTGTCATTGACATAGAGGGTGGTCCAAGTCGCCAGGCTCAATCTAAAATGGACCGTAAAAATAGATGCCTACACGTAGCAATCTAACCTTTTCGTCAAAGATGTATTTCACAGGTTGGTCTTTTTTTGTAAAATTACAAAACATAGCTCTCTTTCTGTTAAAGGGATACTGAAGCGAAACTTGAAATACACCTATTATGGTCAGAAATAGGTTCAGTATGATCAATGATATTCATAAATCATAATCGCGCGTTTGTATTTTGAACGGATGGCTATATTTTTCACCCTGATGGGCCCGATTGGGCGCGCGCTCAAAAATCGGCCATCGGAGAGCGCGATGCGTCTTGGGATATTGGGCGCATTCGTGACGTCACTTGTGCCGGTCGGGAAAGGCTACGGCGTGAATGTTGTGGTTACGAGCGTTGCCACTTGGTGGCGCGTCGACGATTTACGACCTGTGACAACGTCGCCGTTTGAGATGCGCAAGGGCTGCACGCACGCTGCACCACGGCAAGTCGACAACCACGGCAGCACTGACAAAACCAGCTCTGAGGCCGGATTCTCAAAGCGAATTCACGACGAAAAAAGTGTGTACGACAAATTTGAGAGAAAACCCGTGCTCTCGAAACGAAATTGTCGTAACCTTTGCGCAGGTTACGACAGAATCCTACGACAGCTCCGAAGCTGTCTTACGCACTTTTTACGATCAAATCAACAAGGCCGACAGCGTCGCTCAGTTACTTGGTATCGGCCACCAACGGACATTTATTTTTCTTCGTGCTCTTCTCGTGCGTCCCGACTTCAACCAGCAAGAAAAAAGGAAGGAGTACTTAAAACAGACCACGACGATCAAGAACGCAGGATCCACAAACACACGAGAAGAGCTACAACAGCCACGATTCTGCCGACCGAGCGAGCTCGGCAGAATATAGTAGGCCTAGCAGCAACATCGACTCGGCGCACCGTTGCTCCGGCGGTCCTTGGCCAAGACCGTCTGTCCATGACCGGCTGGCCTGCTGAATGGAATATGCCCGCGCAACCCTTGTGGACCCTTACCGGATGAGTAGTTTGATCCCTGAACTAAATTTCAGAGGTCAATATTTCCCCCTTGTCATCTCGATCTCCTTGTTTTCCGAGACAGCGGTGACGAACGCTGTCGTCGAAAAGGGACTCTCATTGATTCTATCTCCTTGTTTTGTGTGATATAGAACTCAAATAAACGCCATACGGATTACCTTGGCAACTCGGTATGTACACTCTGTTATTAGTATGCCATTTTTATTCTGACTCGACGCTACGTCAGTGTCGAGCTATAGCAGTTCGTGGGAGCTACGCGATGTCGGTCTAACCTTTCTTTGCCGAGTGTCATGTCAGTATCGAGTTGCAATCGTAAAAGATCGGTCCAGAAGCGCTTACCGAAACGCGGTCTAAGAGCGAATCCAGCACTTCGATCAAACGCGCGCTTCCGCTCCGAGTGTGAACAGGTATTTGGCATTTGCGTGGCTCTTGCTGACACCCTCGTAGTTCAAACATATCCTTTTTAACGTCGGCTTGCAGCTCGCGACTCGCAGCAACTAATACCGGCCGTGCCATTAGCATGCTCGGGCCGTTTCGTGCAAAGAGCCGCAACGAGAACGAGCTCACTGTGGCCAACTACGCTTTGGCTTCCTCCGCCAAGGCTTTGCAAACGCGTTCAGGCCTAGGCGAATTCTGCCGGCACGCCGTATTGCCGCAGAACGGCGCTGCTATTTTGGCACAAGTGATGTCACGAGAACTTCCCCCCATCCACCAGATGAGAATTTGAAATCGTTTAATTATGTTTAAAATTAGTTCTCCTGTGTTTTACAGCGCAATATTTATATTTCCGAGGTGGTGCCTGTCCCTAGCCCATATTTATGCAACAAGATCGGCGCTAAAATTTCGTTTAACTACCCCTTTAAAAATAAGGCCAAGAAACTTGCCAGGGTTTACAGCGGCCAGCGACGCAGACGACAGGGGTCCATTCGTATTGATAGATGGTGCTACCTCCTTATTGCTACGGCTCGCGACCACCATGGTTTATTAAAATGAACATAATGTTTTTGAAATGTACCTTTGATTAAAAAAATAAATGCGGACAATAAAATCAAAACTTGAAGTAAAAAAATGCATCTGCATAACGACGGAGCTCTTGCTGCCAACGGATTTTGTCATGCGTGTCGTCTGCTTTCTTTCGCTGGTTGGCTGCACCTTCTGACGCTGCTCCCGACACCATCAAGCAATACGAATGCCAAACACACCCCGCTACTGGGCCCCTGTCCTCTGCGTCGCTGCCCGCCGTAGACCTGACAAGTTTCTTGGCCTTATTTTTTACAAAAAGAGAACTATGCTTTGTAATTTTACAAGAAAAAAGCCGACCTGTGAAATACACCTTTGACAAAAAGTTGATTGCTACGTGCAAGCGTCGATTTTTACGGTCCATTTTAGATCGAGCCTGGTGACTTGGACCACCTATAGAAAATCCTCTGATCATTTTTCTGTTGTGCATGCAGTGATGTGATTGCTGCGCCAATTGCGCCAAACTGCGCCAAGGGGCTAACCCTGCTACATCCTGCTACATTTCGCAAAAATATGAGTAATCTGCGCCAAGCCTGCCCCAAAGGACCAATTTAGGTTGCCTTTCGCAACCGAAACTAAACTGAGTACTGTAATTGAGCAGACGTGTGTTATGTGGCGCAAGCGGCCACCTGACACAAAGTACCGTGCATCAATTGTCCACCCGGTCTTTCATGGATTTCCCTGCGTCTCGCGTTTCGCGCTCTCTCTTGTGGCTCTCGTCTTGCGTCTCCTTTTTTTTTTTTCAGCGATAGACGCGGATGTGTGCAGACGCTCCAACGCTAGCATTCCGGGTACCAACTATGCCGTCATGTTGGGAAACGAAACCACGTTTTTGTGCGGCAGAAGTTACTTTGTGAGCTGAAGCAACGACCGTGGGAAAACTATATTGGGTCACTGCCTTTCAGTCACCGTGGTCGCGCGACGTCGAATGTTGCCGTCCCACATCACTGCAGATATGGTACTTCCTAAAATGAAACGAAGTACCGCCGCATGTTCACCAACATTCCTGTTCTTGTTTAAATCATACGTTACTACAAAAATACATATTTAATTCAAAGACTGCTCTGTCAAAGTACTGATTATCTAGATTCCTCTCGGTGGGTCTTCTTTCGAAAAGTACCTCGGTACGTGAAAGATCTGCCGTGAAATAAAGTTGAAGAGAAGTGAGCTAAAGCAAAGAAGGCAATGTATGCATGCTGAACCCGCACAGCACGCTCTTTGTCTCGAGTTCAGTCGTTGCACAAAGCGCTCCAAGAACGTTTCGAGGCTGGCTCGCAATGTCTTGCACCGATGCACTCAGGTTCTTCATTTTTTGTGTGTTTAGCTTGTACCTTGTTTGCCGGCCTGCTGGCAAGCACGCGCCGCTGGACTGTTTACAGGGATACTGAACCAGAGAATTTAGTGCCCATAATAAGTGGCGCACATTCTTTCCACGAGCCAGCAACCACCGGTGTGCGCGAGCACACGCAAGAAAAATGACGTCAAAGACCTCCATTTGCACTTAAAAGGACAGTGAAATGCATGGGCTTCGGGCTAAAGGAGAATAAAGACAAGCTTTTCATCTCTACAAGTGAAAGCTACGTGCTTGTTAGACCAATTAATTGCTTACCTTTTACACCAGACACCACTCTGTAGATGAAAAACTTGTCTTTATTCTCCTTCGGCCCGAAGCCGATACATTTCAACGTCATCTTAACCCCGATGGAGGTCTTTAACGTCATTTTTGTTGCGTGTGCTGGCTCGTGGAAAGAACGCGCGCCACTTATTACGGACACTAAATTCCTTGGTTCAGTATCCCTTTAAGTCGCATGCTCGAAAGTTACATTTTGTGTACAATTTCGGGAATAAGTTAACGACCGAGCTGAGGGCATGGTTTCGGTTTCGATCGGACAGCCGTTGTCTGCGCTCGCGCGACAAAGCATGCCCAACAGCAAGCCTGCCGAAGTTGGCCTCATGTGCATGCGAACATGATTGCGTGACTGCGGCACCAGCTGAGACGCTTGCAATTCATTGTTTTACGTTTGCTTACTTTTGACGAAAATCTGGCACGTCGGGAAGCAGCAAAACGGTGGCAAGCGGTTTTTCGAAATTTCTTGGCAATGCCTACAGCACTATACACTTTGGGATGTCTGAGCAGTAAAAACAAAAGCAGCGAGTTCCGTCACAACACGTCGCATCAAAACACAACACAACACAAAGTGTCCTTCGTTTGTACAGCACTTAAAACAAATATTTTTATTTTCCTAGAAATATCTGCTCCAAAAGCCGCTTTTGCTGCTCCAAAACACTGTTTGGTTGCTCCAAAACGTGCGCCAAAATGGCTTAGGCCAATCACATCACTGTGCATGTCGTGCAGTTTCCTGTGCTGCCACATGACAATAAGGACTTTTAGCAGACCGTTGCCGCGTTCTGCATACGACACTACTGGAGCCTTTGAAGCATTCTTCAGGGGCTCCAGCAGTGCTATATGCAGAACACGATAACAGTTTTCTAAAATTCTCTTTTGTCGTCTCCCTTGATTAGTGGTGAGTTTTGCTGCGGTGTCATGAAGCGGACGACTCACATAGGCAGATGTATTTCCTCGGCAGCAACGGCAGGAGGACTTGACATGGATGCACAACCCTTCTGGATGAATCTTCTCCTGAATTCTTGACTTGCTACTAAGATGACTTGACCAGTATTTGGTCTCTAAACGACATTGTGAGACTGACTTTAGGTTCGGGTTCTTCATCAAACCTTATTTTATTGCCCTGCAAAAAACTATGTGCATAAAAGATTACAAAACCAGATGCAACGTGCATTTTTCAGCAAGCAATTGTAGTAAGTTTGTTTACAGTTGCCCTTGAACATTATTTATGTATACATTTATGGTGAATATTGAGAGTAGGGGGCGGGGGGGGGGGGGGGGGGGGGGGGGGGCTGACGCATAGTCTAGTACACAGTGTTATGTGTCTTTCTTAAAGATTTCATTTTTGCCCCCACTGCCGATTTTGGCCTCGTTTTACACTGTCTATTAATGTATAAATATGTCTAAAATTGGTATTAACATGCTCAATAAATACATCTTTTACAGTTGGAGGAAAAGGAGCGTCTGCTGAAAAGGAAGCAGAGGTTTGGGAACACCCCAGACACAGAGGTAGGTTTTGCTTAGAAAAAATCTTTAGTAATAGCGCATCTCCAATCATGCGTTACATCGACAACTTCCACAATTTCCTGCAGGGTACCAAGAAATCCAAGACCATCGTCATCTAGACTTTTCCAAGAAGGCCACCAGAAACACTGGAAACATCTCGCCACAGGAAGTGGAAAAATGTTGACAACTTTTGTTATTATCTAATCATTCATTGCCATCAGCGTGCGTTTTCTTTTTAGCAGGAGTAAATAAATTATTCATCTCACTAATGGCAACTGCATTCATAAAATTTGTCACAAAGGGACGACCAGTGAGGAGATCACACAGGGTAGAATTGCATTATTCTCCAGCGTAAGCAAACTTGCAGCCGTGGATGTTCTTAGACAATGATAAATTAATTTTTGAAACTTGCTTAATTTGTTCATTGATCGCATGTGCCAGCTTCATGGTACTGCTCATTATCATTGATATATGTTTCCTACTCAACTACATACATTATATTTCATATGTGTATGTATGATGCTCAATGGAACCAAATACACTGGTCGAGCTCGGGGCCTTGCTAGGGTAGCAGCGTATGCTCTGCTTGCAGAGCACATCCACTTACACTGGGGTATACAACTAGCATGTGCAGTTAGCCTAGAGTAACCAATGGCTCTGTCATTTGGTTACTCTATGCACTGCTTGAGCTCTAAAGACATTATTATTATATTTGTTAGGCCATATGCTCCTCTGGTCTATTTAGTTTCCTTGAGCGCTGTATGTCGTGTATACTGCTGTGGTACACACATTTGCGAGTATGGGCTCACGGCGTCGCCATCTTGCTCAGTCGGGGTGCGCTTGGGCGTGTCATAATCGAATTGCGGCGACACAATCAGATTATGGACTAGCTCAAGCGCACTCCAAGTGAGCAAGATGGCGGTGCCCTGAGTCCATACTTGCAAACATGTATACCTGCAAATTTGAAAACAAAAAACCTAGGTTATCCGGGAAAGAACAAAACTGGAATAACTGCTCCATTATCAAATGTAGGTGAACACGACAATGTTCCTATAATGCAGGAAAGGCTCTTTCCGATTGAAGACCAGCATCCACGGCTGCAGTCTGCTTGTATCCAAGTGCTTCAGCAGCTCACTTGCAATGTGACTGCGCACATAGAGTGCGAGCCACGCTCCGTGTTTTCTGAATGCATGCGAGTCTGCAAGGATGTTGAACAGGAGTTGCTTCGCTGTTTCGCCATCATTTGCAATAAGCCAGCGCAGCACCGGAACACCCGTGGTGTCCTCCTGGAGCCCCGCATAACCACGGATACGATTGCTCGCATTGACCGCCACCCTAAGGTGCAGCGATTCCTCGTTGAGCGTCATCCTCCAGAAGCGTCTGCGCCCGAAGCCAAAGATGCCCTTGTCGTAGCTCACGAGGAAGTGGAACATGGACTTCTTGAACTTGACAACCTGGGCAGTCAGAAAGGCGCTGACACGCTCACTTTTGGTTGTGGAGTAATTCTCGTTCCCCAACATTGTGCATGCTAAGAAACCAGATTTGCAACAGTTGTTGTCCTCTGCCTAGTCAACTAACTACCCGACTCCCATCGTTAGGTCTTTGAGCCACTGAGTAGGTGTTCTTCAGAGTAGCGACACTTTGTCACCTTTGCGCTTAAAATTATTGTTGCCAATTATCTCAAGCTTTTTCATAGATTAAAAACTAATTGGCTGTGGTGGAAATTTGTGTAGAAATGAAAGAAATGAAAACCAGTTTCAGAGAATCTACCGTTGCCCTTGTGACTTCAGCTGGACGCGTGCACTTAACTGTGCAAGTTCTTCGGCTTAATCGAAAATGAGTCATCTTTTATGAACCGTCAAAAAGGTAGCAGCACTAAACTGAAAAGAAGAAAAGGACTCCAGCTTAGCACTTGCAATTCTCTAATCATCCTGTTCTGAAATCGGGTCCCAGACTGGTTATTGGTTCCCTCCCTACTGCCACGACAATTTTGGAGGGAAGTAATGCAAATTTCATTGACTTCATTGCTTTTCTTTTTTTTTTTTTTAGAAATGCACATTTATTAAAGGTATTCTACAACGAAATGTTGGCGCTTATTTCTTGGTCTATTCGTGTTCAAGGCGGCAGTACCGCAGCGGACACACCAATCTCTGGTCGAAAAAGACGCGAAAAGGAATTTTAAACGGTTAGCAGCGAGCACCTGGTGAATGTCGCTAAAGCCTCGTTTGTAATGCCGTATAGGAACCTTAACAGGTAGTGACGATGCCCGTTTCGCCTGAAACTATACGGTGAGCAAGTGTTCCTAAGTGAGTCTGGCGTAATGATCGTAAGGAGGAGCATGCCAATTAAAGGGCAGCATAGGGAATGCGCACGGAACGCGTGATGACAAGGCGGCCAAGCGCGCGCAGTCATTGGTCAAGGACGGGGGTAAACAGACTCGCGTGGACGCGCTTGGGGGTAGGTAAACAAACGTACGAGGTGCGCAAAGAGCAGACGAACTTGCACGGCGTATGCCTTGAACCTTACGTCATACCGCCAGCTCTCCGGCCACCAGCAAAGAAATCGCCGGTACTCTCTTTTGTGTATCCCAGAGGTAGGAAGTGGACCTCAAAAACGGGACAGTCCCGTTTTTGAGGTCCACTTTTGCCGTCCCGTTTTCGCAGGAGTACATAGTTTCGAAATTGGCACCAAGCGAGTAGAAGCAAACCGAAATTGAGCCTATCCGTTACAAGTATGTTTTACAAAAAATAACCATAGGTATTTTCAAATATTTACCCAATGATTAAAATTTATAACTGTTCCTTCCCACAAACACATTTTCTCTCGCGAAGACGCGTGTGTAGAAATATATATATCTTTTTGTTATTGGATATAGCACGGATGCAGAATCATGTAGATATAGCACGCGTGTAGAATTTCATTAAATTTTTTCTCCCAATCTTAAACTTTAGTGCCGTGACGTGACGTGTCCGTGAGCTTCTGCCTTCTGGCCGTCTCAGAAGCCTCTGACTCCAAAGAAGGCCAGCCAGAAGCGCAATGCGCATCGCGCTCGTGACGTCAAGAGTTCCTGCCTGGCCTAGGGTACTGTAGTGGCGAGCGTTGCCGCTTGGTGGTGTCAACGCGTAACAGTCTCGCCTAGTAATATCTGAGGACTGTACGCTGGAGATCTAACTCAGTGCCGATACACGCGCCTCTCGCGGCGGCGTCGCGCGTTCTCACCGGGAAGCGACCTCGGCAATCACAGGAGTCGCAGCTCAACTGCAAGTGATACACCAGTGGGTGTGGCAAGGTAGACATGCCTGCTTGGGCTACCACATTGGCGGAAGCACGGAAGCAGCGTGAGTGGCGGCGGGTCTTTACCGCTCTCCCTACGCCGACTCAAAAGTGGCCGCGCGCGGCACTGTTCGCTAAGCGATCGGTAGCGGCTCCTAGCGGACGCAGGGTACCAATACATAGTTTGCCCGTAAAGGTCATTCGCGGCCATACCGGTATTTCATGTGCCACGAGCATTCGGCTCACCGTGTTAGTTTCACACCGCAGTAGTAGTAGCTTAGGGAACCAGTAAGCAGATATAAGTCAGTACCAAGCAATGGCGACACCTGCAAACTATGCATATGTATATAAGGTAATCACTGGGTGCCATATTTGAGCGCGTTATTCATAGCGCATCTGGAGAGAAGGGGGGCTGGGGGGTATGGTTAGCCTTGTATCGTATTGCGGTATACAAGATAGCCAAGCGGTGAAGCGAGGTGCTCGCGCGACCAACACGAGCGCCCGGGACATCGTTCGCAGCCTTTGGACTGAAAGGAGACACGCTGGACACAGCGGGACATAACAGCGACCTGATAATGATTTCGTTAGAATAAACAACTATACATGGTGTCAGAAGTGGTCGGACTATCCCACGACACGTCGCCACAAGTAAGCGCTTAGGAAGCAACAGCCTAAAGAAATGACCTACTCAAACCGCCAGACCTACTTCGTACAACAGGGGCCCTAAACTCGTCAAACACAAAGTTAGGGCCAAAGTTCACGGAGCGCGCCGATTGGACTATAGAGACGATGACTTTGCGCTTTTTTTGCCGGCGTCCAATCAGTGCGCTCCGCGAACTTTCGGCCCCAACTTTGTGTTTGACGAGTTTAGGGCCCCAGGTGACGTGAACCAGAACTGGAACTTTTTCAAGCAAAAGCTGGAGATATATACTTCACCGTAACGGAGCCGCACGGCAAGCCGTTAAGGGACGATGCGAAGGCTGCGCTACTGTTAAGCTTGGCGGGAGAAGATGCCATCGAGGTCTTCAATACTTTCACGTTCGCCGAAGGGGAAAGCGCTAACAACTACGAGACCGTCGTAAACAAGTTCGACAGGGACTCACAAACGGACGAAATTTACGAGCGGTACATGTTCCGGAAAAGGATCCAGGCAGAAGGAAAGACCGTCGAGCAGTTCCTTCGAGACGTAAAGAAATGAGCACTTCTTCGCTTCACCGCGTGGCTATCTTGTATACCGCAATACGATACAAGCCTAACAGAGACCCCCCCCCCCCCCCCCCCCCCCCCTTTCCTACTCCTCAGATCAGGCTTCTATCTAACGTCTGCAGAGAACGGCGATCTTGTGGAAGCTTTAACATATTCAACGTAGTAAACGCGTTGGCCTTCCCCGTCAATTCGCATTAAGAAGCAAAGAACTCCACGAGCGAGCAATACTGGCGTGAACTGGCGCTGCTTCTTGGGAACTCGTGACCTGGCGGCATTGCAACGGAGCTTAATAAACCGCCAACAGGCGCCATTTTAAAATTTGCTAATTCTTCTTAAATTGGTGTTCTTGACTTTTCTGTTGGTAGCCCAGAAACACCAGTCCAGACTAGTGTTTCTGGGTTACCGGCACAACATAGATCGCATCTGAACAAAGAAATAAGAGCAAAAATTTCGTTTCCGTAGCCCTAGCCCTTTAAAGGGGCACTGACACCCCCAAAGGTCGTATTTATTTTTATTGTCTAAAACGATGCAAGTTGCAGTCATAGACACGCAAATAAAACCGCATCGCGAAAAAAAATTTTCCCGCGCGCGCGCGCGCCTTTTTATTTTGGGCGTTTGATTTTCCCGCCTCTCGCCTCCTCGCTTCTTTTGATCGGTGACGTCAAAAATCAGGAAATTTAGAAGCTTTGTTGGCGACATCTCTAGAACATTTAATTACGGCAATCCTAAAACATGTTTTTTAACGCAATTGCGAACGCACTACGGCCCTTCTTTTTGAAATACCAAAAAT